ACTCGCAGTACGACATATCATGTCAACCAGTTCAGAAGAGCTGATAAGATTTGACGATGACATGTGTCCTTATATTGAGCAAATATAATTCATTCATTCTTTAGTGAGCCTCTACGTCACAAAAATGAAGGTGTAGTAACCAATCAGCGAGGATTTTAAGCAAGTCTAAATATAAGTTTTATACGATTCTGAAATATGATTGATGTTTTATCGATCCATATGCAATAGATGTAAGTGACATGTATTCGAAAGTCACCCGTTTTAAATTTCGGACCAAAAACAGTGTCGTGATAAAGGGGTTGTTGTTTTCCTCAGTTATCCCAGTTAAATTCCCGAACAAAACATGAATGTTTCATTGCCGTTTTCTCTTTGATCCTTCGTACGCACTTATTAAGTTGTGGGTGGGGAAACAAACGCGTATAGAGTTTGGAAAGACAACCACAAGAAACAGGGCCCCTTTGCTACATTTAGTCAAGAATAAATTTTCTTCTTATATGTAGCCCTAAAGCTCGCTGCCGTGTTAACAAGAACCGACTACTAGTTCTTAATCTGAGCGCTGCCGTGTTAACAAGAACCGACTACTTGTTCTTAACCTGAGATAAATTAATCCATTTCATACGCTCTTAAAGTATTTTTTCACGAATCATTTATCATTATCCTGCTAAATACACTTCGGTTACAAAACTTTGCATTTCTTGAACAAAACTGAAAATTTGTGTAATGTTTTTAAAATTCAATTCATTTTATTTATTTAAGTGTTTGCCAATAGCAAGAAACCAATAACAAGCAAACACTGATAATACATACAATAATAATGAAATAATAATGAAAAATATTTCACAAACAAGTTAACTAAACATATATATGTGTAGTATTAAATATAATAGATAAATGCACTTTAGAATAACTATGTTGGAAGTGCATTAAATAAAACTAAAGTTTCTAAGGTTCGAGCTGGTCTGTTGGTATTGAAGCTTTGAATTCTGTTGTGCTGTTCATAACACAGCAAGTGAACAAATTTTGAAACGTTGGTATCGTATACCCCTTGGACCGTTATATAGCTTCTGCACTTTCACATCGCCCCTCCTATTTATTTGGATCATAGGTCCAACTTATCAGATAAGCAGATTTATCTGTTAGATCATATTCCTTCATAAGGTCATCAATCTTGCATTGGACAAGCTGTTGGAAATTCCCGCACTCGACTTGAATCAATGGAATTGCAATCAAGTGAAAGGAGGAAAGTCAAAGGCTTGAACAGTTCATATTTTAGTAAACTAGACTTCAATGAATTCAGACAGCTGGAGACTGTATTATCATATCGAATTATTCTGAGGGTCGCGTGATCAATAGTGAACTTTATCTCTTCACTTATCAAGTTCCTGGGGGGTGTGAAGAGTTGTCAGAACGTACTTAGAAGGTACGTTGGTCTGAACTGAAGAAGATCCTACTTTTGCCAGTCATTTCGGGAGCGTTTGCGATTCTGTGAATATTCTTTTAAAATCGGACTCTCCTTCTGTACGCTAATAGTCACTGGCAACATTCACGAAGTGCAAGTATTTAATTCTGTCGAAAGCGACAGCGATGTTGTACCCTCTGTATACGTCTCCTAACTTGTCTTTCCTCTAGTTGGCTAATTGTATTCCCACGCACTCAATTACAGTAAAGCATAAACTACATAATAAGTTATGTATTTGCATTTAAACACTGAAACTAATTAAAATGTGCATAATCGTAAGGAACAAATTCCCCAGTACGTGCAGCAGTTTCGTAGTGATTTCATCTTCTTAGTACGTGTTAATGGATGTGTGCTGAGACGGTGTTGCTTGGGGTCTGTGATACTATGTTGATGCAAATCCCAGCTTCGTGTTCAATCCAGTAAC